GCCCCCACCCGCTGGCCTCCCCGCCCTGATCCCCTTGGCACTGACTCCATGCCCACCCCCTGAGCCGCTGAGTGTGCAGAGTCCCATCCACACCAGTCCCTGAGCCCCATGGCCTCTGCCCACCACTTCACCAGCACCTACAGCGCAAAGCACCCGCTCTCGACCCCAGTCCCCTGCCTGTGCATCCGGGCCCTGCCCTAATCTGTCCCCCCCATTGAGCTTGCTAGGAGTCCCCTTGCTCCTCCATGCCCCACTCCAGCCCTGGGAGATCTGGAGAGCAGGGCGGTTCTGGCCCGGGTAGCAGAACCCAGGAGCTGGCCATGGTGGGGCTGGGAGCCAGGACTCCTGCATTCTCTCCCAGCTCTGGGAGTGGAGGGGGTTGGGCAGGGCCCTTGATTGCAGCCATGCCAAGTGAGTCCCAAGTTCACGAGCAGAGCTGCTTCCTGGGTCTCCACCCAGCCGGCAGGGCCTGAGGAAAGACACCTGTCTCCGGGAGAGGCCCTGGGAGCTCAGCTGACATCCGTTCCCCCTCGATCTGCTGAGCTGAGCACAAAACCCACCTGCAAAGTGCCACTGGGATCCAGGAGACCTGGCTCCTACCCTGCCCCAACCACTAGACCCCACTCCCCTCCCGGAGCCAGGCATGGAACCCAGGAGTCCAGGCTCCCACGCCCTGAGGAAGGGGATGTGGGTGTAGAGGGGGCATCCCTGGTACTAGCAGACAAGCTGGGCAGTTCCAGCCTGTTACCCAACTAGTGGCTGGTGGCAAAGGTGTGTGCAGGGGATGCCCCAGATCAGCTACTGTTAATAGCTTCCTAGGACTCCTGGGTGGGGTCTAGTGGTTAGAGCAGAGGGGCTGGGAGCCAGGACTCCTGGGTTCTCTCCCCAGCAGGGTCCCTCTCTGCCCTGCACCCCCATGTCACCTCACTCTGGCCTTCAGGGACCTTGGTCTTAGAGCCTATGGGACCAGGTGGAAACTGGCTGGGGCAGAAGTGACAGCAAATCGCTGTTGAGTTGTGACCTTCTCAGCATCCCCATAGCCCCCCTTTTCCTGGTGCCTGAGACATCTCCTGGGATTAGCTGGGATCAGCTCAGCTCAGCTCAGGGGGTAGTCACCTGAAGAGGCAGAGGCAGCTTGGCAGTTTAGAGGTCAGATGAGGACTCCTGGAATCTATCTCCAATTCTGGGAGGAGAGTGGGGTCTAGTGGGTGGTCTGGGAGCCTGGACTCCTGGGCTCTACCCCTGGCTCTTGCATGGGAGTGGGGTCTAGTGAGTTAGAGCAGGGGGCTGCGAGCGATGACCATGTCTCTGCAGGAGGCTGGATATGAGGTCCCCGTTCCTGGGTGACGGTCCAGGGCTGTGTTGTTAGACAAAGGCCAGTTGGCCCCTCTGGTTAGGTCCCCACTCAGATTAAATGGCCACAAGACTCTCCTTCATTTCCTGTCTCACATGCTGTGGTGATGTGTGTGGTTTTTACTTGTTGCCTGCCCAGAGGTGGCTGCATCTCGGGTTCTGGGAGGCCTGCAGTGAAGGATGGCTCAAGGCCAGCAGCCAGTTCTCTGGCGCCAGCCCCTGTTCTCTGCCATGCAGTGCCAGGATCAATGCTTCCTGCCAAGCGCGGGTCCAGGAGCGTGGGAAGGGAGTTGAATTGCCCTCTGACACTGAACTGTGCAGAGGGACTGATCCTGCTGGAGAGGGCAGGTCAGGGGAGCTGTGTCTAGGAAGAGAAGAGACATCTGGGGAGGGAGGCTTGGAAGCGGAGATGTGCATGGTGGGGACAGGGATATGGGGTGCTGGAAGTGTTGGGAGGTATGGGGGGACCAGAGGAAAATGAGGCCTGTAGATGTACGGAGAGGGACCTGTGGGGGCTGGAGATTTGGGGGGCTTTGCCCTAAGCAGGAGTGTTGGTGGGGGAAGTGGGATCCTGCCTGGGGAGGTTGGACGTGGATGCCAGAAGGAATTGTAGGGGAGGAGGGTAGCATGAACTGAGCAGTTCTCCCTTCCCCCCAATGACTTTGAGGGCGGGGGCCCAGACAGCCCTGGGGGAATGTTTCCCTGAGGGGGAATTGCCAGTGCTGGGATGCAGGGGCCGGTTGGATGGAGACTTGCCTTTGGGGACTGTTCATAGAGGGTCCGTCGGGCCAGCACGGAGAGGCGGCCCATCTGGGCTGGGGCGCTCTCTCTGCAGCAGTGCCCCCTGGCAGATCCTCCCTCAGCTTTTAGCTCTTTGCCTAATGATGATCTCATTAAGGGCTCAGGTCTGACCTGGGGCCCTGACGTCAGGGCCAATGCCTGCCTCCCCCGCATAGCTCCCTGCCTAAGTGTCTTAGACCTGGGTGCCTGGCCCTATTCCTGCCCTACAGGTGTCCCTGGCAGGGCTGAGCCGGCACCGCCCTGCGCTGACACGAGTTGTCTGATTCTCAGCATCGCTCCAGGGCTCAAGAGACTTCCCAGACTCCAGGACTCCTGGGTTCTATCCAGGCTCTGGGAGGGCAGTGGGGTATAGTGGGTTGGGAGCGGGGCTGGGAGAGCCGGGACTCCGGGGTTCTGCTCACAGCTCTGGGAGGGGAGTGTGGGCTAGGGTTTAGACCTGGCATTGGGAATTGTCTCTGGAGCGTACGTCATGCTTTGGCCTCGTATACCTCGGCGCTGGATGCCTCTAAGCCTGAGGCAAGCCGTCCCTCTGCAGCGTTATACGTGCGGGTTCTCTAGCTGCCACAGCTCACTGCATCTCTGCTGGTTCATATTCCCTCTGCAGCCGCTGGAAGCTGGGGCCATGGACTCTGGGCTCTCAGTTGTCAGCAGAACAGCTCAGCGTCTGCTTTCTTTGCTGATTCTGCTCCCGGTGCCCTTGGCACTGTGGAGGAATGGGGGAGGGAGGGGTCACCTCTAGACACCTGGGCCCGGCACGGGAGTGAAAGGAGGGGGCTCGATAGCCCTCTCCAGCAGGATCTGGGAGGCCTCTGCCCTTGGATACAGGACCTGCCAGGCCCTTCAGAGACCTAGAGCAGGGTGGGGTGTACAAATACTGGACTCTCAGGAGGGTTGTGAAGGAAGGTGGCGCTGTATTAATACACTGCCGCTAGCTGTAATTGTCCTGCCGCAGTCAGCAGGGCAGTGGAGTCTAGTGGGTTAGAGCTGGGGGGCTGGGCTCTTGCCCCAGCTTGGGGGTGGGGGCTGGGATCTAGGATCGAGGGGAGCTGTCAGAGCTAGGGGGTGGCAAGGAGCCCCAGGCTAGAACAGCCAGGGGCTGTGGGTCGGATCATCTCGCTGCCCTTGAGGCTGTCCCTTCAGCCAACCCCAGAAGAGCTGATAGTGGTACCAGCTGCCGCCTCCAACCCTTCTCATCTTTGCCTGTTGTAGAGCTGGGGACAAAACCCAGGAGTCGTGGCTCTCGGGCCCCTGCTCTACCCACTAGACCCCGCTCTCCTCCCAGAGCTGGGCTAGAACCCAGAGAAACAAACAGTTGGGGTCACGCTGGGAGTGTCCAGGGAGCCGGGGTGGAGGCAGGGCTGGTTCTGGAGGGACTCCAAGGCAGGGAGCTAGCATGTGGCCCTGAGGGGGGGCAGATGCTGCCTTGGATTGGCTTGTCTTAGGGCAGTGGGCCTGTCTCTGCTGCTGAGCCTCTCTTGTCTTGGTCTCAGGCATCCCCCTGCTGGGTTTCCTCTTCCTGCTGCCGCTGTCCATCCCGTGGGCACGGATCTCGGTGGGCTGGCTGGCTGTGGTGCACTACCTGGCCTGCGTGGTGCCCCAGCTGGGAAGCGTGCTCTACCATCTCTTCATGAACCACGAGGGGGGCCCCGCTGTTTACCACACTCTGCTCACCCTCGACATGTGCGGGGTCTGCATGGTCAACACCCTGGGTGAGTGGGGATGGGGGGCATGGCCTGGGGGTTATGGAGGTAATGGGGGCATTGCTCTGGGGTGTGAGGGACAGATGGAGGGTGTAGGGGACTGGCTGGGGGGGTTTGGAGGCAGAGCTAGGGCCGAGGATCCAAAGCGGGAGGAGGGGAGGCAGAGTGGGGTTACAGGGAACAGATGGGCGAGGCTGGGCTGCCTGGGGGTGCGGAAGGAGATAATTACCCACCTCTAACCCATTTGCCTGCCTCCCCGCAGGTGCCCTGCCCATCATCTACTGCACCCTGGCCTGCTCTCCACTTCCCCGCACGGCCTCCCTGCTGGCCTACACGGCGCTGTCCAGCTACGCCATCTTCTGTGCGGTGACGGCCCACTCCAACGTGCGGCGGCTCTGCTCCTTTGCCTGGCAGGCCCTCTTCCGCTTCTTCTTCTTCTACCTGCGCTGGGCAGGCCTGGGCACGGGCCACCCCTCCTCGCTGCGCTCGTACCTCATCATGGATGGCCTGGCGCTTCTGGGGGGCGTCATCAACATCTCCCGCGTGCCTGAACGCTGGCAGCCCGGCCGCTTCGACTACTGGTTCAACAGCCACCAGATCATGCACGTGCTGGTGGTGGTCAGCATCCTCTACCTCCACTGGGGGGTGGTGGCCGACCTGCTGTGGGTCACCAACTACGCCTGCCCCCAGGACTGACCAGACCCGCCAGCCAGTGAGGATGGTGTGACCTTGTAGCTGCATCCCTCCAGGTCATTCCATGATTGATTCCCATTGGCCCGGGGAGGAGGGGTCAGGATGGCCAACAATAGACTCCCATTTGCTGAGGCATCTTCTGGATCCACTCCTGTTTGCTCCAAGGTGTCTTCTGGATGGCTAGCGATGGAGTCTCATTGGCCAAGGTGTCTTCTGGATCCACTCCTGTTGGCCAACAATGGATTCCCATTGGCCAAGGCACCCTCTACACTCCTTTTGGCCAGGGGTCTTCTGGATGGCCTGCAATGGATTTCTAACGGTTCTGGCGACTTCTGGATCACCAGAGCAGGAGTCCCATGGGCTGAGAGTAATTCTGGACCACCAGGGATGGAACCTATAGGCTGCGATCCACTGGAGCCTTCTGGATCACCAGCAATGTTTGCCCATAGGGACTGGGGGCAGAATGGGGGCACTGTTTTGGTGAGAGAGGGAGTGGAGCAGCCCCTCTGCCCTTTAGACCATTTATCCAGGTATCCTACAGACGTTGACACCATGCAATACTTTCTACTTTTTAAAGGGCTGATGAGGTACCTGGATGCCGGGGTCTGCACTGAGTAGGGGCTGGGGGGGAGGTGGCCCAGGAGAAGCTAGGGGCAGTGTCAGTGTCCGAGTTGCCTCCCAACACTAATGAGCTGGCCTCTGTGGAGTGGAAGGCAGGGGAATCTGTTGTTACAGCAGAACTGGAGGGAAGAGGGAACAAGTGACACAGCTGAGGTGCGGGGGAAGGGGTGAAAAGAGAAACAGGACTCCTGGGTTCTATCCTGTTACTGCCACTACCCTTGGGCCAAGTGGCTTCCACCGCATGTGCCGTTTCCTGCTGCTTCACTCTGAGAGTGGGGTGGGGAGGGGAGGCATTTCCTGTCACTGAGCCCTGCGTTGCACTTTCTCCCCTGCAGCGGGAGGAACAGGGATTCCCCTTTCTGCAGCAGTCACAGCTCCTAGTGCAGTAACAGCCAGCGGGGACTGTGTCCCCATCAGCCTGCTTTTTTAACTACGTGTCCCATCTGCTGCTAACCCCATGGTGCTCACTGGGAGCCCCAAGGCTCCACTTCCACCTTCTGCTGGCACTGAGGTGTACATACTATTCCCCCTTTCTCTTAGGCAACTGAGGGTCCCAAACACAGAAGTATTCCTGAATCACAGTTTTCTAATCCCTAATCACAGGGCCCTGAATTACTAATCTGGAGTCTGAACATATAAAGGGAGCCAATCTGGACTGAGAAACCATAGGTGTGAAAGTAGCTAAACTGGGTCTGAACATTGATTCCAACTGGCCATATGGATACATAGCCAAACTCTTTCTCAGTCTGGATTCCTGTCCAGAGGCTGGGTGTGAATGCAGCTAAAACTGTTCCTAATCTGGATTCCAACTGGGTGTGAATGAAGCTACACTGGTTCTCAATTTGGATTAGAATTGGCCACGTGTGAACATAGCTAAACTCATCCTCAGTCCTGATTCCTGTCATGAGGCTGCATGTATGAATATAGCTAAATTGGTTCTCCATCAGGATTCCAGATGGAAGGCCAAGTGTCAATATAGCCAAATTATTTTTAATCCAGTTTTGCCAGGAAATGTATATGGAGGCCAAACTGATTCTTAACATGGAAGCCTATGTACATAAGCAGTTGTTAATTTCCATCTTGTTCTCTGATTGTTTTGCTCAGTATAAATGGGGGCCTCTCATCCTCATTCCTGGTGGGCAGCCACACTGGCTTACAAACCAGTTCAGTATTAGAAACTTGCTTTGAATTGCCATGTAGACAAACCTTTAAGAAAGCAATACAAAGGGTAGCACAGGTAGAGCAGGACCATGGGTGGACAAAATGGGTAATTGAGACTGCAGTCAAGCATTCAAAGATACCCAACCACACGACATGGTGTGAATTATACCAGGAAGAGATGGGCACTAGGACTGGGCTCTAGCACTACTGTGGGAAGTGTGCGGGGTCTAATGGTTAGTAGTGGGGGCCTTGGAGAGCTCCTAGGTTCTGTCCACACTCTAGGAAGGGCATAGAGGCTAATGGAGGGTGAGGGAAAATCCGGCCTTCTCAGTTTTACGTGTCTGTTGCCCCACACTGTAAATAAGGCCGAAAGGAAATCTAGGAAGGGCATTGTAAGCTGTGAATTGTTGCACATTGAAGGGATGGATGTATTTCTTTAGCCTCCCTCATGGGGGTGCTGTTGGGTAGGTTCTGCTCTTCCCTCCCACCAACATCCAGTATTGTCTGCGTTATCTCAGGGCACATGAACACAGCTAGTGTTCACAGCTTCGTGCTGAAGCAACATATCTTTTTAAATTAAAAATGCAAAACTGAAGTGTAAGAGACTAACATCTACATCATGCCAGGGTGGGGGCAGGAGGTGGATGGAGGTTCTGAAAAGCCACAGCCTCCCACCAGGGTCCTATTGGATGGCAGCTCTAGGCTTTAATAAAGCAGAGAGAGATCATGTGTGTGTTGTTCTTGGTCCTCCGGCCATAGCTGGCTTGAGGACATCGGTTTTGAATTTTCATGTTGATAAATGCAAAGTAACGCCTATCGGAAAACAATCACAACTATATGTATAAAATGATGGGGACTAAATTAGCTGTTACCATTTGAGAGAGATCTTGAGAGGTCTCCAAAACTGATTGTGACTACTTCTCTGAAAGCAGCTGCTCTATGTGTAGCAGCAGTTCAAAAAAGCAAATAATGTTAGGAATCATTAAGAAAGGGATAGAGGAGAAGGCAGAGAATATCTTATTGCCTCTACAGAAATCCATGGTATGCCTGTATCTTGAATACTGTGTGCAGATGTGGTTGCCTCATCTGAAAAAAATATCTTGGCATTAGAAAAAGTTCACAAAAGGGCAACAAATATGAGCAGGGCTATGGAACGGCTGCTATAGGAGAGAATAATAGGAAGGACTTTTCAGCTTGGAAGAGATGACTGTGGTGGGGGGATATGATAGAGGTCTATAAGATCATGACTGGTGTGGGGAAAAAAGCAACTAAGTTATTTATTCCTTCCCATAACACAAGAACCAGGAGTCACCAAATGAAATAGGCAGCAAGTTTAAAACAAAAGTACTTCACATAATGCACCTGTGGAACTCCTCACCAGAGGATGTTGTGGAGTCCTAGACTATCACAGTTTAAAAGCCAGCTAGATAAATGCATGGAGGACAGGTCCATCAATAGCTATTAGCCAGGTTGGGCAGGAATGGTCTCACTAGCCGCTGTTTGCCAGGAGCTGGCAGTGGATGACTCGATGACTCCCTGTTCTGTTTATTCCCTCTCTGGCATTGGCCACTGTCAGAAGACAGAATATTGGGCTAGATGGACCTTTGGTCTGACCCAGCAGGGCCGTTCTTATGCTTACATTCACAGAGGAGTTGCCTTGCTCCATTGAAGGCTAACAATCTGTTGCAGAGCTGGTAGAGCAGCTGTGAAATTGCTTGAGTAACAAACAAGGATGGTGTATGTTTCCATAACCAGTGGATGAAGACCCTCCTTTATCCCTAACGGTGACGAATCTTCTGCAATGCTGTCCCACACCCAGGGATGGAGAATCTTCTGCTCCTACTGGCCGAGAATCCATAGTTGTCACCACACCAGAATTAAAAACTGGATTGTTCAGTGTTCAAGCCTTTCGCATCTTAAACCCAAGGCTTCCAAGGATATATTTACACTGTGCAACTATTTCGGGATACTTCTGGTATCCCAAAAATCGCTATTCTGCATCTTTTGAGCAAGCCTGTTATTTCAAACTATAACAGGCTTGCTATTCTGACATCCCTGTAAATGAGCTTCAGGGGCAGTGCAGATGCACCGGAAGAGACACATTCATTCTTGTGCAGTCTGCCCCCCCCCCGCCTCTCAATCTAAGAATTTGTCTGCATTCAGAGTCGCTCCAGTTACGGAAACAGATTGAGACAATTTCTCAGTAGCTAGTGTTACCTTAGGCCACGAAAGACATGGACCCAAGTCCCTACTCTACCACAAGCTATCTGGAATGCCTTAGAATTAGATCTTCTCCCTCCTTGCAGGGGTGTGTGAGTGAACACAGATTGGGAGGCGGTCTGATCTTTGGCTGATGGGGCAAGAAGTATTTCAGCAAGACAAGAACACCAGTACAAACCATCTTAAGTGGAACTGAAGCTTAATTTCTAGCTCTTTGTTTAAAGCAGATTACTAGCTTCAAATTTAATTTGGATTAAGAGCATCCTCACTAGTGTAACTAGATCTGGTTTAAAAGTCAGACTTGTTAAAATAAGGGCAGCTTTGAAGCCAAAGAGGAGCCTATTACAATGTGTGTGTCACTTGCCCTTTGGTGTCTTAGTCATTGATCACAACTCCACTGTGCTAGGCCCTGTACAAACAGAACTAAGATGTCTTTGCCCCAGCTCTGGAAGGGGAATGAGGTCCAGCAAGTTAGAGGATTGCTAGGTCCTATCCTAAACTTAGAGTATGCTCAGAGCACAGTTAATTCCCTTCTTGTTGCCTTAGTTTGCACTGAGGGAGTGAGGGTAGGTCAGCCTACATGGTACACAGATACTGCTGCATGACAAACCCAGGACGAGCAGGAAAAAAAAATTACACTAGTGCCACTCTCCTCAGTTCGTGTGACAACACCCCAAGTGCTGTATGCCCCGTGCCATGGCTTGTGAGTAGCCCTTGCGCAACCCCTTTAGTGTTACAGAATCAAGCTCGGCAGCCCTGGCAGGGAAGGAGCGGCACAAGTGATCAAACTGGGGTAGACTGGCACAGAACCCCACAGCCATAGCAGATCCCTGTTCACTCCAGCCAAGGACAGTGCTGCCCACACAAAGAAAGGGGATTGACTCACTTTATTCCCCTAGCCCAGGGCTGTGTTAGCTTTGTGACCATTTCAAAGCACTTTTTATTAACACTTTCCATAGCTGCCAGCTTCCCTTAAAAATGAAACCAAACACAATCCACAAATCCCACCGGATCCTAGCCTGGGGCAGAGCCACGGGCAATCCTTGGTGGGAGGGGATGGCAGCACCGGTGTCCCTCCCACCATTTCATGGAGAGGTTAAAAAGCTTAAAAAGAATGTACACTGGAGATTCAACCCTCAGCTGCTCCCTCCAGCAGCCCCCTGCTGCCAGCAACAGGAACAGAGGCAGCACCAGGAAAGGGGGTGCTCTCTCCACAACCCAGCAGTGTAGAGAATAGGGTGGGGGTGTCAAGGGGACCATGTGGGGTAGTTACCCAGTGAGGGGCACTTCCTGCCCCAGGAATAATCAAGCTGAGGGCAGCTGGTTGTCTTTTAGTCCTGTCATTTCTGCTCAGCCACAGCATCCTCAAACATGCCTAGGAGGTTCCTAGGTTCAAAAGAGCAGCGCAGGCCTGCACACGGGGGGACGCTCTCCTCCCTTTCTTCCTCATCCTCCTCCTCAAAGGCCAGGGTGCGGCGGAGGCTGCCCCCATTGGGGGAGCCTGGGCTGCTTGGGGGAGACTCCAGGCTGATACGGCTCAGGTTGGGGCTGCCCTGAAGGGCTGAGGACCTAGGAGGGGGAACCAGGGTGGGATCAGGAAAGTGAAAGATGGAGACACCCTATGGGATTCCATCTAGCCCATCCCCACCCCGAGCAGAATTGTTCAACAGCAGAAATGCCCCATTTAGCTCTGGGAGGAGAGTAGGATCTAGTGAGTTAGAGGGGGGGAGGGGAGGTAGGAAGGGCTGCTGGGAGTCAAGACTCCTAGGCCCACTACCTAGTACACTGCACTCCCCTCCCACACCTGGGGAAAGCAGGAAGGGGTGGTGCCTGGAAGCCAGGACTCCTGGGCTGGTTCTCAAGTGTGCAGGAATAAAGGGAGAGGCCTACAGGATATGCTGCAGCCCTGCCTGATAGCCAGCATCTCACCTCTTCCTTCTGCTGCCAGTCTCTGGGGGCGAGGGGTGGCGTGGGGTGGATGTGCTGCCCACAGAGGGGTGCAGGTTCAACGGCGGGGAGCTTGGGGGCCTGTCAGGGAAGCAGAGGTGTGAGGGGGAGCCTCTGTGGGTGCAAGAGGGGCTGGCCCTGGGACTCAACATTCCCATGCATTCATCTTGAGTCCATCTCCCAACCACCATGCTCCCGCCACGCCACAAAGGGCCACCTTGGATATGTAATCCAGGGAGCTCCCCGACCCCTTAGAGGAACCTTTATGCACCTCCTTGTTCAGGAAAGCTAGGGTACTTTCCCACACCCCATCATCCCTATTACATCCTAAAGGGAGGAGCACATACCCCTGCCTTATGTCCACCTGTCCTGCTCATCTGGATTACTTTGTATTCCTAGCCTCCCCACAGCTTCCTCCTACATCCCTACCTGCCCCAGATACCATCCCCTGCATCTCATATTCTGCCCCCTGCATCTTCACACTCTCGGTCCCCCACCATGTTCCTATGCCCCTGTATTTGAGTTCATCCCATATACTCCCTGCATCCCAGAAATCCATTTCTGCGCTGGAGTGGACCATGGCTGTGGAGGGAGCAGTGCTGCCACTTACTGGAAGGGATTATCCCCACCCTCCATCTCCGCACTCACTTACTTGTCCTGTGATAACAGCTCCCCTGGACAGGTCTGGTTATGCCGCCCACAGATTCCCGATACCTCGAACACATCCTCTCCCAGGCTCCCGTCCTCCTCCTCTTCCTCCCAGTCACTGGAGAAGCTGCTGTCCAGCAGGGTAGCAAGTAGTGGGGAGCAGGGCGGGGTGACAGGCATGCTCCGATGCCAACTGGAGAGCCAGCGTGCTGGCAGGCAAAGAGTGTGCCACAGCCAGTGCACAAAGCTCCTAACACCCTGAGAGGAGGAGAGAGAAAGTGCAATAGGACTAAGGGGCACTGGCACAGCCAAGTAGGGGAGCCCACAGCTGGTCTAGTAGGGGGCTGTGGATTGGGACTGAAGCGTAACAGCCGAGTTGGAGGCTGCAGGACTGAAGTGCCCCCCGCTACCTAGGACTTACGTGGTATAATGAGGCAGCTCTTAAGAGTCCATCCTGCACCAGCAGAGTCAGCTTGCGCCACTTCTCCGTCTTGCGCATAAGGCTGGAGTTGAGCAGTGCCTCCACCGAGGGTCGGAGCCGGGGATCAGGCTCAAGCATGGCACCCAGCAGGACCCGCAGTTCCGAGGAAAGACCTGGGCCAGGGAGAGCCATCAGCAGTGCCCTCCACTGAGCCCCACCCATCTCCCTGCAGCAGAGCCCCCTAGTCACGTTACTTAAAGTTCTGCCTTATGTAACCACTACACCTGTATAACCCCTGAGGGCACACAGAGGTAACCCCTGAAGATACATCAACCCAGGTAGATATTTACCTAGTTTTAAAACAGGCTACATAAAAGCAGTAGTGATGTTAGTACAAACTAATATTTCATAGATTTGTTTATACTACCTTATACACTATACACTGAAACATGGCACACAATAGTTATATTCCAATTGATCTTAGAATTATATGGTAAAAATGAGAATGTAAACAATTTTTCAATAACAGCATGCCCACTTCTGCATTCTTACGTTTGATTTGGTAACTAAGTTGTTTTTAAGTGAGGTGAAATTTGGATGTACAGACAAATCAGACTCCTAAACGGAGTACGCAGTCTGAAAAGGCTGAGAGCCACTGCATTAGTATTAAAATAAACATTACCCAGAAGAGCCACAGGAGATGAATTCATGGTTCATTTACTACAGTGCTATCCATTAAATACTGTTTAAATATGACAGGAGAAATATTTAGTTTTTACACTCATGTCCCCGCACCGAAACCTCCAATTTACAAACACCATGAGAATGGAGGTTGTTCATTAACTCTGAACAAAATAAAAAAAAAACCTTAAATAATAGACTAGTAGCACCTTAAAAACTAACAAAACATGTAGATGGTATTCGTGGGCACAACCCACTTCTTCAGATGACAGAAGTATTAGAAGTCCAGATCCAAGAATAAATAAGGGAAGGGGAGGAAGAGAGAGAGAAAGAAAGAAAAAAAAAAAGAGCAAAAAGGAGGGGGGAAAGGAGAAAAAAATAAAGAGAGTGAGTAGATGGTTCAAATGGAGGTGCTAATTGGTCTTATCAGCCTGTTGTAACTATTTGAACCGTCTACTCCCTGTCTTATTTTTTTCTCTTTTCCCCCTCCTTTTTGCTCTTTTTTCCCCCCCTCTCCCTTTCTCCCCTTCCCTTATTTATTCTTGGATCTGGACTTCTAATACTTCTGTCATCTGAAGAAGTGGGTTGTGCCCACGAATACCATCTACATGTTTTATTAGACTAGTAGCACCTTAAAAACTATTTGTTGTTTTAAGTTTTTCCAGTTACAGACTAACCTGGCTACCTCTCTGAGGCTTCTGAACAAAAGGTTATACTTGTTCTTTCAAAAGTTTACTACTGAACATTGACTTAATACGGTCTGAAACTTCACTAGGCACAAGAAAAATTGTTACATTCCCTTTAAGCACTTTACAACTAACACGCTACTGCATTTACTATTTTTGGGTCTCCAATGCTGCCTAATTGTGTACTTCTGGTTCCATATGAGGTATGTGATTTATGGGTCAGTTTGTTATAGGGATACGAACATGTACTCGTGTACACAATTGAACTAAAAGCCAATTTCAGCGGATTCCCAAGTGCGAAGTAGGGTCCCACTGGACACTGGGTAACCATCAGCAGAACCAGCAACTCCACCTGTGCCAAGAGAGGTGATCCCCACCCCTCCACTTACCAGCAGTGAATTCAGGGGGCAAGTAGCCCTGGCGGAGCTGCTGCCAGCCCTCCCCTCCATTTGGCAGCTCCATATTGCAGGCGATTTCCAGAATGGTCATGCCAAGGCTGAAAGAGAGATGTGCACATTGGGTCAGCTGGGAGCTGGCTTCCCAGGGTCCTCTGCTCTCTGGCACATCTGGGTGCCTGGCCTTGGAGCACATGGGGTGAGGGGATGGTAGTGGTCAAGGAAGGGGGTGCGTGGAGTGGAGGCCAGAAGATGGGTCTAGTAGTGGACAGAAGGATTGGGCTGGGAGTCAGACAGGACATCTGGGTTCTATCCCTGACTCTAGAGGCCCCACCTGAAGACATCAGCTGCCTCACTGTACTCCCCCCGCAGCAGCTCAGGTGCCATGTAGCGTGGGTCACCCTCCTGGGCATCACTCAGGTCTCCACGGTCCAACTCCAGCACCAGGCCAAAGTCGCCCAGTTTGCAGACGTGGCGCTCGGTGAGGAAGACATTGGCTGGCTTTATGTCCATGTGCAGTAGCCTGCAGGCATGCAGATGGCGCAGCGCCTGCAGCAGGTCCCAGAGGCAGGCCCGCACCTGGCCCTCAGGCAGCGGTCCATGTCCCTCACAATGCTGCAGCAGGCTGGCCGGGCATAGTTCCGTCTGGATGTACAGTTGGCCCCGCTCCTCCCAGGCCCGCACAAAGCTCACGCAGTTGGGATGGCGCCCCACTTGTTCATGCTTCCGCACCTCGGCCAGCTTGCGCTGTCGGTCGCCGGCTCCCCGGAATGGCTCCACTGAGCGCTTCACTGCGTACAGTCGCCCATCTTCCTTGCTGCGCACCTGTGAGGGAAGGTCAGCCATGGGGGACACAGATTCCCCCCAACAGATTACTTCCTTTCCCCACAAAATAACTCCATGCTCACCCTCCATGCTGCAAACCTGGGGGAGTCTGAATCAGCCACCAGGGGAACAGGCTCAGGATGAGTCATGCTCACCCCCCAGCTGGGATTAAGGATGTTAAAATGTGGAAAATCAGCTAACAGGTAGTGGATGGAATTTCCATTGACTACTTGATTAGTCAATGGGGGGGGGGACCTGTAGCTCTGCAGCAGGGTTAGCTCCCTGGGGCGGCATGAGCCAGGAGTAAGTAGTCCTTGCTTGTGCAATCCCGGGAGCTAAACCTGCTGTGGCTCTACCTTTTAAATGTCGTAAGAGCTGCCAGGCCCTTACTACATTTAAAAAGCAGAGGCGTAGCGTCTGGGACCAGGTGCAAGCCGGGACAGGTGATGCCTGGCTCGAGTCTGGTCCCCTGTGGTGCCTCTCCTTTCCCTGCGCTCTGCCTCAGCTTTCAAGGGGGCTCTTCCCTCCACTGGTTCCTTCTCCCCCAGCCCTTGCTGCCTAGGATAAAGGCCAGTGGACAACTCGGCTAGTCGCTTATGTCCCTAGATGGGATCCCCTTAATTTCTGCATCTCTTAGCTAGAATTCCTCATCCCAGATGCCCCCAATTCCCACATCCCGTCCCCTGCTGGGATCTGCCACCTTAGCCCTCTTACCTTATACACCTCCCCAAAGGAGCCGCGCCCCAGCCGGCCCAGCAGCTGGAAGCACTGACTGAAGAAGGGCTCTCTGCGGGCAGGGTTGTAAAGGCGGCTATGTGGGGCCAGCGCCCGATCCTGGGAGCTGCGAAAGGAGACGCTGCGCGGCCGAGGTTGGCTCCAGGGCTGCGGTTGGCGGCTGGCAGTGAGAGTGCCCTTGTGGCGTGGCCGGGGCGGGAGGGTGTAGCTGAGTGGCCGACCCGGCTTCTTCACTGAAAAGCTGCGCTCGGCCTCCCGGAAGAAGGCCGGCACGGGCACGGGCAGGGGCGTGCGGCTCAGCTGGGATTCGGTGCCCGCGTAGTCCAGGGGCAGCGGCATGGCTGGCTCTGCCAGGGGGAGACACTGCAGGGAGAAGAGGACAGCAGCTGGGGAGAGCACCAGGGGCTGGTTGGTGGCTGTGTCTCAAGGTCAGCACCCATTGGCATGAGCGAGGGGTGTGGGGAGGGCAGGATAGGCTCTGCAGGCCAGTCCCTTGGTATAAAAACAGGGTGGGGGACGCCCCGCACGAGGGGCTGGTTGGTGGCTGTGTCTCAAGGTCAGCACCCATTGGCATGAGCGAGGGGTGTGGGGAGGGCAGGATAGGCTCTGCAGGCCAGTCCCTTGGTATAAAAACAGGGTGGGGGACGCCCCGCACGGTCCCTGCCTTGGGCAAAGTGGGGGGCCCTGGCGGGCTGGGTACAGCGGGGGGAGGGGTTCAGCCAGGAAGACACAGGGGGCCAGCTTGGGGGAAAGGGGCTGGTG